ATATAAAGTGATATCATCGTCAACCTAATGTCCTCCCTCCGCTGCTGGGGCAGAGGGCTTCTAGATGAATGTAATTAAATAAGGAGTACTTGCCTTAACCCAACACGCTGACTCAGCTATGATATTATATTACACAGTATCTAACTCGACGTCCCACAGCATAAAGCTTCAATGAAATAAATTTTTATTACCTCTTGGAGAAGGTTTTATTTGAACGGTCCTCTATGTTATTACAGAGATGTTGTCGTCCAATTTCACGGTTTTAAAAGAATAGACGCACTGCAAGACGGATCGATCGAAAGAAATTATTTTGAAAATTCAACTAAAATGACTGCAGACGCCGCTTAGCACGTCTCGAACTTTGTAAATTCCAGTTTTTTAATATGTTAGTTAAAAAGGATGGAATTGGTCCATTAGTTTCCTGCAAAAATCAACTTTTGCTAGAGTCGCCATCTAGTGAAGGTGCTTTTTAGTGCTTTCTTTTTTTGAAATACTTCCTCATTATAAACTCAAGTAACAAAATCTCAGTTATAAAACTCGTCCAAGAAATAACTTATAGAATAATTAAAAGCGAATGCCTGTGGCTAAGAGCCTGGGCATGATAAAGGTTAATATTACAAATGGTTTCTCTATGATAAGAATGGTTTATATAAATCAAAGCGCTTTTCCATAACACACGTTGACATTTTTGAATTACCACACTAGAAGCGATACAATAAAAAAAGTTTTGAATTAATGAACAACCGATATACTCTCGTAAAAGATTCACATACAATTCCTTACTTTTATATCATCGCTTGGTTGCTCCAAAAACTAATCTTGCACCAAGAGATCAAAGGCGAGAGATCGAATTCCCTGTTCCAACAGTTAAAGGTGCATTTAATAAAAGAAAATTTAACATTCTTATACCACATTTTTATAATGCAATAAAATAAAAACAATATTAAAAGAATGGTTACACACGTTTGATTATAATATGTGTGATAAACTTACCTAGTATTATCTACTTTCCTACTTTCAAATTTATTGTAGCAATGAAATGAAATTCGATTTTCTTCTCTCGTGGAGTACTTATGTGTGTATGTTTTTTTTGTGTGTGACTGATAAGAGTTTGGTATGTAGTTGTACAACTGTTTCAAGTAGGTCTTGGTTTTGAGAAATTCATTTGGGCTATCTGTATAAAGTTTTTTGGAACATCACTTCCAATATTAAATTCTAACAGTAATTAGAAGGCACTAGTTCCTATAATACAGTTCAAACTAGTATGGGAGACAGGGCACAAAAAAATATTGCACTGATAATGGAAATAAATTTATTATTATTATCATAAAATAATACCTATGTATACCGTGATTATAGTAAGTATATTTCTTAAAAAAAATGCTTAAAAATTCCCTAGTCTTCAACTTTGGCAGTATTTGTACTGAATATTTATCAAATTAACTAATTAACTCCGTAGCAGAGTAGTTCATACGCCGAATTCATCTCCCAGGGGGCCAATTCTACTAAATAAATTTTGTTTAAATCGAATTGAAAACGGATCGAAACCGAACGAAACTACAGTTTTTGAAGGCTTTTCTATTCTACTAAGTGACGTACGATACAATTCCAGCTAAAATTGTATCGTATATCACTTTGTAGAATAGGAAAACCATCAAAAACTGTTTCGGTCCGTTTTCGATCCGTTGTCAATTCGATTTAAACAATTTTTTTTAGTAGAATTGGCCCCCAGGTCTCGGGTTCGATTCCCGGTATGTATAGAAAATTCACTTCTCAATATTTTCTCTAGTTTGGCTTTACCTAATCTTGGAATCTGATCAATATATGTGATGTTGTGTAACATTTTATTATAAAGCGTACATGTAACGGGCATAACTACCTTCTTGACTCTCTTTATTCTTGACGCATTCCTTATTTGCAGTACGGTTCTATAATGTAAAAACGGATATATGACTGCATGAGGATTGCCGGGTCATCTTGTATAATATATAGTTTAACATATTTGACAGAATCAAAACTAAATATAGTCTGGTTTGTGCTACTAAATTGCCACCAATGTCTATACCAGAAAACTCCACATATAATTTGACCAACTTATAATAATCCAAATAATACACGGCACCTCGTTATCGCGTGTTTCTAAGCCACCGAAAGCCCGCCTGTTGGTAGTATATTTTTTCATTTAATTTTTAATTAAAAGTTTTGATACTAATTAATGATATTAAATTTCATATCGTGCATGCCCGTTCCACACCAGAGCACTTGCATTTGCTTTTGGGAGAAGAGAGTTTCCTAATTACATTCGTTACATCAATCGGAAAATCACAACTATATATGAAACCTCAATTAATTACAAACGGAATTTATGTTGATATTCTTTTGAACTTAATAATATTTGGTAGATGTTTTTATAACAGACATTTATGCCATAGAATGTACGATAACCTTCTTGCTAAAATAATGAACAATCACCTCTTTCAATAGAAGGGAGGGTATAATTTTTTTTTTTTTTTTTAGAATGTACGATTAGAGATCAGTGAAAATATTTTGATCCAAAAAAATACCAGACCTATTTTTTATTTATAGTTGTTTAACTAGCGGCAGTGGGATCTAACCCATACTAGTTTTCTAGTTTTCTGGTATAGATCCAGTCTAGTAGTATTTCTATTCGAATGAGGAAATATTTAAAAAAAGATCCAACTATAAATGACGATTTATTTCGTAATATAAAACGACTTTTACACATTAAAACACACGATCAATTTTTTATGAAATAAACTCCATGTTTGTCTTACCAATTTCTCTTTGTTGAAAATAATTCTTCTTTTTATATTTGAAATTTAGTCTACCGTCACTTCTTTACATAGTAAAAAAATATCTAAGTTCTAATTCGTAGGACCGTGACTAAAGTATTTCTTTCTATATTTTGGAGCCAAACAAAATCTGTTTTACTAGAGACGGTACACACTAAGTGCCTGCTCTTAAAAAAGATAAGTCATATGTTTTTGCATACGTAAGTCGATCATTCGCGATCGATACACTCTGATTAATGATACGACACGGCGCCTCTCGAGTGTCCTTAGTTCTTATTATTACCGTTCACGTCAAGTAGCGTTGTAGTGCAAACATGGTAAACGATGTGGCGGGAAAAAAACACAATGAGCTATTGACAATCTCGTGTGAAAGATTTACCGATAATAAGATAAGAGTTTCGTGATGATAGATGAATAAATATAGTTGATAACTACTTAGTGATTTAAATCAAAGTGAAAATTATAACACTTTATTTTTTTATGTAGATGACAAAACCTGCTGCACTGATATTCTCTTGAATCCAATTGTGACGATATAAAAGGACTTAAAATCAAGCACGTACAAAATGATGTACAAACAGATAAATTACTGGATACACTGCTGTTTGAGCTAAATCCCTTTGCTTTTAATTAGACAAACAACAAGAATGGCACGTCTGAATACCGCCCTAATAAATTATTGATTGTTTACTATTTATAGAATATGTTTTGTTACATTTAAGTGAGGTTATTTTGTCTTACAAAATATTACCACTTTCTTTATTTTATGAAATTTCTTATCTTTATATATGGTGTTTAAGTCGTAAACAAGAAAAGTGTTTCCTAGTTTAGGGCAAGAACTTAAAGATTACCTACCTCTAGATTAGTATACGTGCAAAGATTTCTATTTATACTATTATTATCGAACGACTAAAGGGACACAAAATAACATGATGTGGCGGTACATAAGTAAGTAAATAATTATTTACGTTTGCTTTACTTAATTTGATTAGATTGTATCATTGATTGTAATAAAATCTTTTTCATTCAAGGCTCTGGAATACAACTTTGTTGGCATATTCTAGATGAATATCGATGCATGCCTAATTAAAGTCATATTTTTATAAACATCAATTAATACGTGTCTCTATTTTCAAAACGGTGCCAGATCGATAGAAAGACTGCCAACTTCCGTATCCAATGAAGACGTCTCTTGCTAAAGATTTTGTTTTTGCTATAAGATTCCTATAGCAGAAACAAACTCTCACTACAAAATTAAGATAATAGTAATTTTGAGATATTTTTGGTATAAGGTTATCTCTGCTACAGTAGTTTGGTACATGGTAAATTGTATCAGCCTCTGGTATTAGCTATATGCATTTTTTTAAATGTAATAAAAGTGTCTAACCAAAGAGAATAATTTTTCACGAATGTTCCTCGCCTTATCGCTTGCCCGTAGTAAAAAACTTCATTTTTCTCGACTTATAATGACACTACACTACACTTTTCGTACCATAGACTCCAGCTAAAAGAACAAATATTTCAATATTTTAATATGAATATTTGGACTGTAAATAAGGAGATCAATCTGATGGAATACTCGGCAACAGTTATAAAATCAGTGCGACAGCTAAGATCCATTCAGCTAGTGCTGTGATTAATCGTGTTGAGAAGTCACACAACTTGAATTCACCTCAATGAGTGCCTCGCATTTCGACGCTATAAAGAATAATCCAGACTGCAGACCTTAGCGACCGACCCAACAAACCTACGTACGAGCTTCCCGCTCACTCCCGAGTCGCATTCCCAAGCCCGAAAGGGACAAATACAGTTTTGACAAAGCGTCATCTATTCATTAGTCGTGATTACGGCTTGGGATGAATTGACATCTGGGACAAGGGGATAGGCGGCCTCGCTTTCCCTCTGAGATTTCTGCTAAATTTTAAAGGAGCAAGTTCGATGAAATATGTATATTGTCGCCGGGCACGCGCTGCTTACACAGACTTTCTCATAAAACGGTATCAAGGAAAACTGTACCATAAAAAGACGGTGTGAATATAAATACTAAAAAATCCTGCAAAAGAGCTTATGAATCTTTATCAGATTTTTTTTAATTACATGAGCATTCGAGTAAAAGGGAACTTCGCAAATAAATTCGCTTTGCAATTTTAATAACCTTTTTTATAAAATTATAAAGGTCGAACTTACCTAATGCAGTACTAGCCATCCGCATAGTTTGAACTTGCATATCTTCTATTGATCCTTGGGCGAGTTTCCTTTTTCTCGGTCGACCTTTGGTGCTGGGTCCTCCTGAGTAGAACTGCGAGGGAGAATCGCTTTCACTATGTAGTTCTTGACACCTGTTGATTTTCCTTATATGTTATAAGTAATGTATGTTGACAACTAATAATAATAAGCCATCATTGATATTTAGTATGAGCGAGTAGTAAGAAAATGAGATAATCTTAATTATCTGTTACTAATACTGCCATGAGGGATTTATTTGAGTCATTATGCCACGATGCAATTCTTTCATCAGGTATTAATAAGCAAAATAATGCAACACTATATAAAGTACATTACTCTGATATCGAACTGAGTACCTATAACTTGTTTTATGGATATCTAGGAAACCTCTCGAGTCCTAATTTTAATTAAGAATCTTATGAGCCTCAACTGTGAAATTGATGTATTTAATGTATAATTTACCAACTAAAAAAGTAAAAATTGTTAATAAACTATTGCTTACCTATACATATTCATATCATCATCACAATAGTCATCTAAGCACGCTGCATCATAGTGCGGTCGGCAGTATACCAAACCGTCTCTCATTCCGAAGACATCGCCCTTAGACAGTAGAGTGCCACACGCGACGCACGTAAAGCAGGTCAAATGATAAACCATGTCCCTGGCTCTCATCACCAGCTCGTTGGCGGTGATCCCGTTGCCGCATCGGGCGCAACGTTTGACACAAAACAATCTGGAACAATATTAGAAACGTATCCTCCTACACTTGGTCACTCGTCAGTACATTGATGCCACTAGGCTATTATGTAACTTGGATGTCCCGTCACACATAATCTTTTACAAGTTTTATTTAATAGCAATTCACGTATATATATTTATACAGCAGTATAAATACATATATGTTCGTCAAATCTTGCAATTGAATTTCAACTAAATTATTATCTTCAACTGTTAAGTTAGTTAAGTACATATTTAAATCCAATATAATACACGGGCCAAAATTATCCTAGCCATTTTTTATACACTTTCATGATATGGGTAATTGATGAAAGAATTTGCTTAGATATGAAATAAAAATATATTTCTTTAAGTAAATCGAACCCTTCTAAGTAAAACCTTTATGTTGTTACTTATCAAAATAAAATAAATAAAACTAATTTCTTATTATCTTTAAAACACTATATAACCTATTCTATCTTTCTGTATTAAATCTAGTGTAACTGATATGCGATTATAAACCCTACAACGTCCTCGAGTCTGCAAATACTAAGTTTCTATAATGTAAGCTACAATATCCGTGAGCAACGAACATATTGTACTTATTATGAGAAAGAGGAGTAAAAGGGGCATAATATCTGATACAGGTAATTAATGTATACCTACATCCAAAGTTTTATAAAGGATTTTCCTGGAACAATAGTACATCTAAGAAAATAAAATAAAAAGGGGTCATTAGCAATATTGAGACCTTGCTATTATTGTGCAAACAATTGCACATCATATATCATGACAAGGATCTTCTTATGAACATGACAACGTGTTAATTCTATTAATATTAAAAGATTATTTGTTTGAATATTTGTCCGTCAATGATGCCGAAGTGTAATTGATGAAATTTGGTATACACATAGGGTATTTGCTGACTTAGATAATAGAATACTTTTATCCCACTAAACATTTTCCTAGGGATCACGCGGGCGAAACCGCCGGCAAAAGCTAGTAATCTATAAATTCACAATAGATTCTTGAGTCTGATGCCACATAGAGCAGTATTTGTAAATTCTACTCAACAGTACTCAGAAAAATAATATTTTTGGTGTAGCATAATAATGACGAGCGGGTTCAGGCCTATACAATTATACCATATGCTGCGAGTTTGAAATAGTTGGGGCTAAGTCTCGTATCATGACAAATTAAGGGAGCTTTAGGGAATAAAGATTTTGTTATTTGTTATTATGTTTATCATTGTCTTTAGATATAAGCGATTTCAAACAAGTCAAAAAAATCTTTGAAAATTATTTGATTTATCACGGTGAATAATATTCGGATATGTGTTCAAATAACAATAAAGAAAATCTATTCCATATAATTAATATCTGATTAATATAGATATAAGTAAATTTACTTAACAAAGTTCTCGATGAGCAGTTGTTTCGCTTTTTTTATATCATTTTCAAACGTCAGGTCTCTTATCAAAGCGAATAAACTTACAAAACGGAACGTCAGCTTCGACAGGTGTGAGAGCTAAACACATGTGAATGACGAAGAGTGACGGCCCCAATACACTTCCCTAATGAACCCACAATGTTGACATGTCCTTAACAGTTTTGTACAAACAAATCCACCTTTTAATTCCACTGAATTGTTTAAAGAGTATGTCTGAACATCCTGTACCTAGAAATAAACTTACCATTCGATTGATTGTATCACAAATGAAATACGAACAAAAATAATCATCAAAAATGAACTAACCATAATAGTTGATGCATATTTCTTATATAATTTAATAATACCGGTTACAGTAGTCGCATGAGCAAGAACGCAAAGCTACATCATAAATACGTTATAAAAACAATTCGCAACATTCATTATGAAAAAAGGACAGGCAGAATTCTATAATAAATGTTAACGAAAGCTCAGAGGTAGATATGTAACAGCTGTTTAGAGATAAATGTCAATGCTCACCTGTAATAATCCTCTTTGCAATAAATATTCCCATCCCTGGAGAAGCACGTTAATTCTGTGTCCAAAGGCAAACGACATTCGCAGCAACGAAGACAAGCACCATGCCACTGACGGTCCACAGCGAGTAGATAATATCTAAATAAAAAACTGATTATGTATAACTAATTCTTTATCAACAAAAACTTTTTGAAATTACAAAAGCGTAAATAAATACTTCTTTCAAATATAAATAAGTCAACATATATGTAAAAGAGCTTTGATGACTAAGTTATATTTATAATTCAAAATTTGTTCTATAACATTTTTTCTATATGATAATATTACACAATTTGTTAATAATGGAAAATTATTATTTTATAGAATGAAAGGTTTATATCTAATTAATTAAGAAAGAGAAGATCAAGTTATGGTGACTTTCTAAACAAGCCTTGTAACAATAGGATAAACAAATAATGATCCCTGGAATATATATTACTAGCTTTCACCAGCGGCTTCGCCCACGTGGACCCTAAGGAGTTAAGTGGGATAAAAAGTATCCTATTATCTAAGTCAGCTAATACCCTATCTGTATACCAAATTTCATCAAAATCCGTTCAGTAGTTTTGGCGTGATTGACTGGCAAACATCCAAACATCTAAACATCCAAACATCTAAACATCCAAACAAAGAAACTTTCACATTTAAAATAATAATATTATAATAGATTTATCGGTTCGAGTCAAACAGTACATACGTTTGTTGCGGAATTATAATATTTTCATCTATGTTTCAGTTCTCATAAAAGAAAGTTTGTCCTTTTTTTACAGAATATCATTTTATAGAGTTTAATTTAGCAATATCACCTGTCTTGTATTCTACCCCCACAACCAGCACATTCATCTGGGGTTGCGGGCGACCCTTCCGAGCTCTCCCGTTCCTTTAGCATCGCTTCCTGATCCGCCGGCGTATCCAAACTGGACCTTTTTTCTCAAATAACAAGGTTCAATTCTTGCGGCATCTCCTCATTACTGTTGTCAAGCGCCATACCTTCAGCCATTTCTTGTTACCGTGATTAGTCTGGCCCTGTTGTAAAGAGCAAAGCTTAATTTTAATAAGTCAAATTCTTATATAAGAGCAAAAAGTATCGAATGCCAATCGGATTCGTGACGAGCAGATGTGTTTATTCTTCTAATCATATTTGCACAGCATTACTTGCCACCATATAATTCTTACTCGACTGACGGTATTTTTTACTGACAGAGACTAACGGAACTTCTGAAGGAGAAAGAGAAGATTTAATAGTTAAAGAAACACTTTTATTTTCCCACCTGTCAGACAGGACGCTTACACAAATTATTTTTATTAAACTTTGACACATTATTTATCTCTGAGCATGATCTTCGCTGGTGCACCTATTTAGAAATAAAAGACTTGTCTAGAGGGAGGTAGTATATACGTATACGTCTTTCAGGCTTGTGGTATTTTCTTTGCGAAAATAATACATTCAAAAGTATAATCCTATAATTTAATTTTGTAAGAAATTCTTAAATCCTATTAATTGAAGTGACTATATTGTATTGGCTGAAGCTTTTCCCAACCAAGTAATCTTGGTAAATATTTTTATGTAAATATTTTAAAATCCATATATAAATCAGCTGCTTAGCATATCATTTATATTCCTGCATTCAGTATACAATGGGATTTCTAAGGGGAATACGGGAGTTTATTATCGGTCCACAGACAATGGCTTGTGGTCGTTTTGCTTTAATTTTGTTCGTGACTTGACAGGCGTGCTCCTGTACCTACGATTGAATGTTTGACTTCATGTAATGATTGCCTTTAAGAGGTCTCATTTATCTATTGTCGATTTCTAATTTAAATATTTATATCATTATGTTTGCCAACTTATGTGTCGCTAGAATCTTTGATATTGACTCTCTATATATTCTAAATTGACGAAGTTAAAACTGGGTGTAAAAAAAAGAGAAAGCGAGATAATATTAACTCGGTCATCAATGACAAAGAGATACGGGATATGCTAATATCGCGCAAAATAAAAAAGTTTAATGAATGGTTTTAAAGTACGTATTCCCATCTTCTTCCATCTGGGTACTATCATTCAATTCTCGATCAGATCAATATAGAACAAAGGCACACTCAGAGTCTTATTTGTAACCTAATAATGAGTATTTTCGGTAATAGAGCGGTATATAGATATATATAAATCACTATTGACAATAATATGATGTGATTATCGCTGTGATTAAGGCAATCTTCTTTTAGTAATTGCCAAATATCAGATATGCAGAATCCATTACAAAATTTTTAACGTCAAGCTGATGTTTAATTTATGCCCCGGCTGTGTCTGCCATGATGTATTGAAACAACTAACGTGTTTTTATGCCCTATAGTAATAATAACAATGAATTCTTTAAAGTAATAATTGTTTACGGGATTGTTACTATGTCACTTATTTTTATCGACCATGACCGTGGCGCTTGTGTGTGTTGCTGTGCGCCAAAAACTAATATGTTTGTAAACCACATATAAATTCTTTATTTCACATCATAAAAAGAGGATGATGTTAAAATGATTTGGAATATAATTATTAAGCACTGTTATAGTATGTTTCTGTTAAAATCTAAACTCAAATTTTCACAAAGCTTTCAACAACTTGCCAGCTACCATTATTCGTGTTACATAATTCAGGAAACTTTCAATGCAAACACCTAAACTAACCTCCTGAAACTGTTCGTGTGTATAAGCTAAAGGATACCTCTATACAAAATTGAAATGTTTACAACATGAAATATAGAACATTATTTATTATTATTTTAAAATATTTCATAGCTATTTATTTGTGTTAATTAAATAGGTATGATGAATTTTTGGTCCCTCATATGGATTATTAAAAAATATTAAAAGCTTAAATATTTTTGTTATATTTTTACCTTATCTATAATTTAGGGCAATACATTGCATCACACGTTTGTAGATTTTCTACATAGTTGTATCGTTGAGAGCCTGCACTCCTCAACTCTAATGCCTTTTATCTAAGTAATTTCTTGTTGACTGGAAGCAAAAAAAAAACCTAAAACAGCGACTTAATTGTATATTAAAAATAAAAAAATCAGCTGTTTTTAACGGAGTTGTAGGGAATTTATATCTTAGGAGCCAATGGACTGTAAAAGGTTAGGGACCAATGGCTAGAGAGTGTTACAAAAGAATCAGAACCAATATCTGTCTCTATATAATTTATATTTACTTTGGTATCATTCTGTTTATACCACTTCACGTTCTTAAGCAAAAAAGGCAGGCAATTCACATATTAATTAGTTATTTACATGAGAATTGCGAATTACAACATAATTACATGCCAACAGTTGGTACTGCATTCATTAAAGAATCAGCAGGGATTCTCCTTAGTCTAATTAATTGTAATGTTGATTTTTAATGTTGTTAACCATCCCCTGGTATCCGGAGCTTGTTGGTAACAATTCTGAATTATATGATTGTGATACGAGACCGACATTGCGATGTATTCGCGTATTGTTTCAGAGTATTGAGTATGCTGGGCACGTACGCTCACTTGGTTTAAATTATCTGTGAGGATCTAGAGAATACGTTTTTTTTATTTATTATATTTTTTTTATTGAGTATTTATGTAGGTCTGTCTAAGGATTTAGAACGCTCTTTGGACTTTTTATTTATCAAAATGCAATCTAAAATCGATCACAAATTTAAACAGTCTCTCGCAGAATGAGATTTACTGACTTCTTGTCACTATACCTTGAATTAATTCACTGACCATGGATTTGCTAAATAATATTAAAATCGTAACATTTTTTCGCGCGTACAAATGGAATTTGTGGTCATTCGTTTCATTAATCTGGTGACTGTTTATATTAATTTAAAAATATAAAAATGCGATTGGTTACCAAAAGCCCTACGGAGTCAAACTAGGAAGACCGTGGTGAAGACATCAGGCTACTCACCCTTGATATTGTTAATACACCTGAGATTCGAAAAAGAAGTAAAGATTCCGTTAAATTTTTAGTACATTGAAAAGCTTAACAATTATCTATAAAAAACGAAAAAGGTTTGCATCATTGTTTTTTTTTATAATATTCTATTTTTGTTATTCAAATAATTATAACACTTTATTCTTTGTATTATACTTATTAACAGTTTATTATGATGCAATGAATTAATTAATATTATAATGAATAATTATATAGAGCTTTTAATGTTGGATGAATACAATTTATGAAAAAATAATTTACATATTTGACTATTATTTTGACTTATTTTGAGAATATCGTGATTATGGTTTTATTAACGCAATTAATTTGCTGTATTATTATTTTAAGTAGGTAATATTGTTTTGAGTAAATTACGCATGGTTAAATAACTTAGTTATTTAATACAACATTGGAATACAGCTCATCTGCTTTGCTATTCTGTGATAATAGGTCTAGGACTCGACATCGAGCACAACGTTGTTACAGAATAGACGTTCATTCAGGAGTTTGCCATGGGACCTCTGTTGTTAAACGAAGCAACTCCATCAAGTTTTCTCTGGTCGAAGATAATATCTAATCTATTATCTTTCTTCCTTTTTTTATAAATAAAATAGTATATATGACAGTACGAAGATTGCCAGGTCATCTAATAAATGTTAAGTATCATATGAATTTTGTAAGTATAATCGGAGTATTACAACTACTGAAACCACTGATAGACATAAATAAACATTTTAAATAATGTTTATTGGAATAAAATCTCCTATTTTTACTAGAGTCTATTTTTATATCATATAAAATATTTCATTATTTTTATTTTATTTTTTTATTTATTAATGGTAGTGTTGTATAAATTTCAAGGCAATTCCATTGATTACGCTTCGATTATTTCCGAATTATCAAAATTTGTTTCATTTTCGACGTTTTGAAGGCGGTTTTAGATTTTTTTTAAATGCAAACAGTTTTACTACCGTTTCATTGAAAAACGAGATATGAACTTACTAACTTATTAAGTTTACAAAAATTTTTGTTTATCTATTGGTCCAATCCCCATGAAATTTTATGAGACTTTCTTGAGAATATCATCATCATCATCCTCCTGTCCTTTATCCCACGTTACGTGGGGTCGGCACAACATGTTTTCTTCTTCCATTCTTCTCTGTCAGACGTCAGCTCTACATCCACATCTTTCACACAGTCGATCCATCTTTCTTCGGTCTGCCTCTACTCACATATCCATCCACATGCATACCCATTCTTGAGAATATATCCTTTTAAAAACCTTTTTGTTTAATCATCAATCCAAATTAATAACATTAATTGAGCTTCAAGTCGACGTTAATACTAAACTAACGTTGCCACTGGATATTTAAACCGATTTTCGATGTTCTAAATACAAAAAGGACAGATTTCCATTAAAAATTTCAACCTCAAAAAAAAGCCTACTCTGTCTTTAAATGCGTGCTAGAAACAGAGCGTACTCTGAACAATGTTTTCTGCATCACATGTATAATCTCATTTGGAGCGCGATAAATTATAATCTGTAACTTCTAGTTAAATAATTTGAAGACTGTATCTGAAAACCAAGTACATTTAAGAATGTACGTTTTATAATTATCTGCTACTACTCATATAATTATCTCTTATTGTTCCATGTTTAACAATCGGTAAAAAAAAGAACGTAAGTTACGAACGTTAAGTATATATTCTAGTAAAGACACGACCCAACCTGACCAAGTACAAGTACATTATTAAACATTCTTATTAAATTTTCTAAACAGGTACGAATACATATTGATATCCGAACATGTTCGAATTGAGTTCTGATGTCGGTACTTTACACACATAATACGTACGACAATCGCGTTTAGTGAGAGAGAGCACTGATAAAAATGTAACTGTTTACTGCAAAGGGTAGGATGTA